GTGAGTTTCCTACGAAAAGTGCACCTTGATGATTAGGGTATGTTTGATTATGTGATACTGTTATTGGATTTGACAAATGCGGAGTAGAAAAGAATGTAAAAATTCGATAAATACTGCAAGATTTGAACCAACCTAATAGCGTCATCCCAGCTTCCATACTGGGTGCGCTCTATCTATTCACTCAACTCTTTAACCAAAGTGTTGCTTCACACGAAAACCTTCTAGTCAGATTAGGAAATTAGCAAAAGGTACAGGCTTGTTATCCACTTGTGGTTTTTAAACTCGTCAGAGCCAACGACCTTTCACGTTGGTGCCAAAGTTACTTTGGATAACTGAGGGAATGAAAAGCACAAAATGAATCTAATACACTGTTTTGAAATAGAGTAAAAGCTGTTGTATACATATCTTAAACAACATCAGTAAGATATTCACAACCTATGACATTAGGAACCACCGTAATTTCGTTGATAATAAAGTATGAAAAGCAATAGGGACAGAGTAGTACTGTGGAAATTTTGAGTCGATTATGAGGAATAAACGTTTTCTTGCCGAATGACTTATTTCAGTGGGAACAAATTTCCTCTCTCAAAGATACATTCAGTCTTGTGGGTTACTCTGTGCTAATATCTTTACGGGTTTGACGGACGCACTAGGCATGCATTTATTGTTTTTCTCATCCAACAAGATTAAAACTACTTGTTCTACAGTCGCATAACAGAGTTGCGGTTTATGTCCGGGATGATTTCGCTGCATCTCAACATGGTGCATAATGTAGAACGACACCGTTTATATCATTTCATGTAAAACCATTGTGTCCGACAAATGTAGGGAAAATTACAATAGTCAAGTTACGTCAACATAGTAAAGACTCATTAACAAAGTGCAGTTTCTGCTGACAAAATATAGGTTTCCATTGATGTAGGACAATAGCTTCAGCATACTTCGAAAGCCTGGTTTTGCTTGCCACAATAAATGACCCGAAAAGCAGTGCTTCAGTCAGCTGGATGTTGCGTTATCAGCAAATGCAGACGACGGGATCTAATGGTTTCGAATGTTGTCATTATGTCTTTGATCTGACCCTGATTGCATCACAAAAAGTTGTACCTAATTTGGAATGTTTTTATTCACTCGGTTACGTAACTGCTGTTCTGCTTGACCGACGTAGGTTGCTTCGCAACTACACTGAAGTTGGTAAATCAGATTCTATTTGTTGTACGTCCCGGATATAAATCATGCTATATTGCAACTCTGGCTTTTCTTTTCAAGATTCTTTCGGGAAAAGCATGTTTCAATCGCATAACACTCAATCGTTTGCCGGTTTTGCTCCATTGGATGGGGCACTTTACCAACACATCATTGGTGCCCGAAAAACTCACGCTTTTACTCAACTCGTTTTCAACCCTTCCAATGTTACCACTGCTTCGATCAAGTGATAACCAAATCTCTCTTTTTATTCATCTGAATGATTCTGTACACCAACTAGCTCGCTTTACGACAGTTACCATATATACATATATGGTTTAGTACTAATTGGTAAACCTTTTTCAAGCGTATGTTCTTGGATCCTCTTCTCTCATGGATTGACTCCACGCCCACTGATATGGCACAATGAAACAGCAACAAATATGACGTGGGATCAGAAAAATGAAAGACGTGATATCCGGTTATCCGATTCTCAAACACATAAAGCTAAAAGGAAAATATTTCCATGCTGTTATTCGTATAGTTCTCACCACATTGCGCATGCTGATTTTCATTTTTATCATTCGTGTTATTCAGTCCGCATAAGACATATGTGCCAACCTACTCTACTTCATACAATTCTTTTGGCCAGATCAAACTGAGGGAGTTAACCTCGCTGAGTGATCCGGTTATCGATCGTTGCATGACTACTCGTTCCAGTCCCACACATTGACCTGGTGCTGGCTCTTGGTTTGAATGATATGTGGTTGTCCGTTTGAAAATGGTCGCCATGAGCAAATAACAAGCGCACAGTTGGTAAAATAATGCCAATATTGCACTTGAATAAAATAACAAATCTTGGGCAACAAGAACAACTAGATGACGCGAATATCACACCGATCGGGCCAATTGATCAAAAGACACAAACATAAGAACAGACAGCAAAAGTGTTGGAGGCATCCTAAATAAGTGAAAAGTAGGCACATAGACTATCACATGGGAAGCATCAGGATTTGAGGCAATCAGAAAGATAGCTCAGGTGAGGGGTTAACGATCAAGCCGTCAACCGGGACAATCAGATCAGCCGAATAGAAATGGTGCCTTAATTCAATGAACATACAACAGTTTATACTGCCTCTTTTTCAGATGGCACTGCACCAACATAACTCTTGCGAGTGGCTGAGTATTTCGGCTGCTTTCTGGCCAATTGCCTGTGACCGTCAGCTTGATTCTCTTGAGCAAAGTTTCTACTCGGTTGATCCAGTTGTCCCGGTTGACGGCTTGAACGTTACCCCTTCACCTGGGCTACCTTGCTGGTCGCCTAAATTCCTGCTGCTCCCCGTGTGCTAGTCCATTTGCCTCCTTTTGTCTTCTTTAGGATGCCTCCAAAATGTTTGCTGACTATTCTTCTGCTTGCGGCTCTCGATCAATTGGCCCAATCGGATTGATTTTCATGTCATCGTATTACTCCAGCGTTCTCCACCACAAGTTAAAAATTGCTCATCCGAAACAACAGCTTGTGCTTTTCTAGAACTATGGGTAGCCTCATTTTGATGCCATGCTGCTATGATCATTGATTGGAGAATACATTTCGAAGGTTCATTTGCTTTCGTGGTGAATGCATGGGATGCAAACATTTGAGAAACACGGTTTACTGTTCAGCTGGTAAAGGTCTTATCAGACGTTTACGTAGACAACTTGGAGCAGTTTTAACGGATCATGCCAATCCTCCTTGGCAAGAGATCGTTCCTTTTGTCTTTTTAGGCAATCGCAATTCGATAAAAGCTGAATAACATTCAAAGCCTGCTGATTCATTTTCTTGGGTGTCCCCTGTCATTGCTAATGGCAACTGGTGGTCCAAAAACATCCGCAGCGTTTTAACTACTCCGAATACAGCCAACGTTTAAATCAATATATGCGCCTAACACACGAAGCACCAACTACGAAACAAAACATGCCTTCACAACTCCGGACGCCTGACTGAATACCACCATTGGCCCATGAGGTGGTGGTCTAAATCAACCATACGTTGTAACAATTTTCTTTTTGGAAAACAGTTATTCGGTTCCCCTGAAGGCAGTTGTTTTCTAGAAGGAAAAAGCAACTGCATGGTTTCTATATTGTAGTTGATCTCATTGTATTCAGTTTTCTCGATGAAATGGAGTCCCTAATTGCTCTATGCTTGATCATAATTGACTTTTAGGCAACCAACCACGTACTACTCGGTTAGTAGCATGTCCGCTCCATCAGAAAACCACTGATCACGACTACGAGGCTATCCACTTGCAAACTCGTCTTCTTGCTCACAGGCAGTACGCGATACTCGGTACAGGATCTTTAAAGCAGGTCCACATCATTCTAGAATGGAAAGAAGTATTTTACATCACGGAACCTAAAGTTAAACGAAAAACGGTTTCCGCGGATACTCTGAAACCGGCATTCATGAAAGTGGGTACTCCATTGGATTCCCCCCATCTGTGTGGAGCACAATCTCTTATACCGTGAGGGAATGAACGTAGCTCGTTGCTAATAGACCGCTCTGTTCAATGAACCAGATGACACGTGATCAGCTGACCAGAATCGCCGGAAAGATCAGAGCCAGTCAGTTGATCAATGAATCAGTCAGCGGTCAACATTCGACCAAAGCTAAATCAACCAATCCGGGGCCGGCCATATAAACCAGCCAGATGGGCAGTTTCGGTCTGCCAATAGACCAATAAGCTTTTATACACGGTTTTGTTCATGAAGAGCGCATATCCTATAGGAACAATCTATTCTGTACCAATAAAATGAAAAATGGATGTGAGGCGGAACTGGGTTCTCACGGAACAACAAATACAGGCACACGGGTCTACAGCACCAACAAGCACGAGTTCAACCACAAACGAACTATCGGCACAACGTGACCTTCAACTCGGGTCTTCTAAATACTGCACGCTTCTTTTATACAAGAAAATGAGTGAGATTGGTTCAGTAACATGAATATTTCTCCTCAAAAGGCGAGAAATAAAACAACGATAACCCTTTAACACTTCTTGTTAGTTGTCTGTGTACATCAAACTGGAACGTTTCCCTCCATCCCCAAACACACAATTGGCAAGTGGTTTTTTCTCAATCCGTTTGTTATGTTTATCATTCTTCGTCGCTTTGCCATTCCTATGAAACGTTCTCCAGAAGAAGAGAACATTATCGAAATTCGCCATTTCGAAAAGGATCTCCCCACTATATCTAGGGTGGTGATTGAGCATTGAAACTGCATTCGCTTCTGACAATCATCATCTTTATTGGCACCCCTTATATGAGTGTCGTTATATCACGCCAAACCAGGCTAACCTTAGTGCGACGGCCAACATGACACTCGTTCTTTCGAGCCCTCTCTCATCGTTTCCCGCTCCATATTATTTACCCCTCAGGCCATAAAATCATACCTGTGGATCCCGATTCCCGCCGCTCGACTCGTGACCGAAGTTATTAGCCGCATCCTTACGTCATTCAACTCGTTAGCCCTTCAATCCAACTTCTTTCGTGTTATCAATTATGACTTGGTTCACAAATGCATTGTCTAGGGGCTCTCATGATACGAAAGTGGTCCGAGTGAGATCCTAATAACTGAGTGTATATTATATATATTATGTATTGCTCTTCGCAATAGACACAGTTTAGGTGCACGTTTTGATGAACGTGTTGCTTATGATAACAGGTTCCAGGTTGTAATGCTCAAGCTCATTTATCGGAGAAAGCACTAGAGTTCTCGTGATCGACAGATAGCTGGGATGCTGTTTCGGTTCATCCTGTTTAATAAGGCTCGAAAAAAGAATTCATTCTCCCGGATCTACAAAGCCGAACATAAATGTATACGATCCACGCCCGATCAATGTCTGTCGAGAGGGATGTTCAGTACGAGGTGCTTGTTCTTCTTTGCTAAAACAGCAGGGTTCCAGAGACAATAAATGGATATACGGATGCCGGAATGCATGCCATTTGAAGAAATCAGAAGATAAGAGTACTATAATGGTAACGGAAATGGTGTATTTCGGGGAAGCCCGAAGAATGCTTGATGGCACGACCGTAGGTTTTAAGTGAGGCCACAAAAATGTGTCTTGGATAATTATTTGGTATACACACGGTGAACAGTGTAGACGTTCTATTGGGCGCATAAATGATTGATCCGCACAACCGAATATCACATTCGAATGACCATACCATTTAGCACTGAGTGGAATCCTTAGGGTAGTCGGAATACAAAAGTGGTTAAGACGGGAATGGGGAAAATGTTTGAAAATCCAGGTGGTTGTCAGAATATTCCTAATGAACACATTTGGAGAACACGGTTTGGTGAACAAGCTCGGTTTCAGTGATGCATACTGATGCCTAAACATCACGATATGTTACGACATGGTAAAGCATTGGTCGATTCGGCTCTGGTCGGTTCAGACCACCATTAACCGCCGATCGGTCCATTGATCACCATAATGTCTCTGCTATTCTTGGTGTTTCTGGTCAGCCAATCACGTGCTGTCTGCTCCACTGAACCAGGCCCTGTACTAGCAATTGGTTGGGTCCGTTTCCTCACAAAGAGTATGCACATTGTTTTTGATCACACAGAAGAGGATTGTGGAGGCAGACCTCGAAAGCCTCAGTTGTAGCCAGTATGCGACATTTTGCTGGTCTTGATCGCCAACCCTGAACCTTATTCAGGAAACAGAAAGATCCAGTCACTTTTGATGTGTGATTACTCTGAGCAAGGTGTGAAATGACAGCACTAGTGAGTGACTTTACTGCTCCAATGTTTTCCCATGCAGGGTGATGTTCGCGGATGTGTTCAGACAAAGACCTGGTCGTGCGGCAGATGTAGGTTTTTCCACAGAAACAAGCGAATAAATAAACAAAGGTCGAGTCTGCTGAATCAGTCACTTTACCTTTCACACGTAAAAGCAATGCTCGTGGAGATTCAAACAAAACAGCCAGTTCAGCTGCGTAGTTGGCTTTCTTATAATGATAACGTATGCAAGCTCAGTTTCATTTACAATCCTAAAGCCATTACCTTGCTGCCACGCCGATCAAAACGAGGTCAACTTCGATCTCTAAGTAGATCGGTTTGATAAGTGAACAACAAAAACATCCTTGAATTGATCACATAGACAAGGTTTCACAAAGCAACTGTGCTACTTCTAATCTAAATACTTGTTTCTAATTCTCAATTTACAAACGATTATCGAATGGTACAGTGAATTCTATCATTTTGCAAATTGTGAAATGAGAAATCATTGGAAAATTCGAAGCTGCTTCCCACGAATCCACCGTTTTTCCCTCTACGTAATGACTTACTTTTGTTGCTGGTGCACATGGCTTGCCTTTACCTCGTTTTGTTCAACGAGTTGTTCGTTCACCACCACTTTGGTAAATTGATACAATATGGAATGAGAATTCTGCTTCAGGAGACTGGCTCATTACAAAAGGATGCAAAACATATCGGCTTCCTCATTTTCATTAGATTTTCCGCGTTTTACTTGTTTGACAACAGTAAACTTCTCTGTTCACTGATTTCAAGATAGGTGATTTAAAGTACTATATGTTTTGTGTAAAAAGGTTTTATAATGGAGTTTTGAAAATTGCCTAAAGCGTTATTAAGCTGTATGCCCCTAGCTTGAATGTGGAATACGGAATCATCCCAATATACCAAAACGTTTTCCAAGTTTCATCTCAATAGTTTGTGAACACAAAATCATTAGATAACTGATCGTTGGTTTAGTGCTTTTACCACTCACGTTCGTCATATCATGACATCAAACTCATCACATCGTGAAGGTGAGTTCTCCATATCGTGAAGTCGATTTCATCATCCCGTGATGTCACATGCGACACTTTATTGTTCCAGCAGTAGCCCACGAGCGAACCTCAATCGGCGCTTTGAATATGCATGTTTTATTATGTGAAGCTTTTGCAGAACTCTGTTTTCTGATGGTGCAAATGGCATCATCACCCCCACACCAATCTCCTTATAAACTTCGTTCGAATATTCATTGCTTGAGCAACAACGATCCACTTCACTATTGGGGATAACCAGTAACCAGATCTTGAGTTCTGGACTTCATAACCACATGAGTTCCGACAGGTCAGGTGTGGTAACGACCTAGACGACTACCATGGTAGCTGGTGATGCCGCCGATTCAAACCCCCAACCTCCGATGGGGAATCAAGCTATCTAAATCATTAGACCACTACTGGCATTGATCTGCTTATATAATCTCATTTCTGTCAACGAGAAAACGTTGATGTGTCAAGCGTGAAATATACCACTGATCTATCTGACCCGATCTCAACTCATTCCCTTCTCATTGGTCTGATAATATCATACAAGTTTGTTCAAGTTAGTTCATGATTGTAGATTTGCAATGAAGCACGCACGCACGCACGTGCATGCACACAATACGGATCGCTTCGGTTGTTTTCGTACAGCTGATCACATTTGACGTACTCCGATCTGAACTGAACGGAACTAACTTAAATAAATTCGTTCTGAACTTGAATGCACTGAGCTACATGTACCCGGTTCAAATGACACTAATCTGACAAAATCAAAACTCGAGTTTGGTGCTTCCGATACGATCGAATGGGTGAACTTCTACAAAAGCTGGGGATGAGGCGATGCATATAGAGGAAATTATTTATTTCGAGCCCTTGTAAAACCGAGAAAACGGATTTCGCTATCGTTTCAACTGTTTCGTAAATTAACATTCATCTTCTACATAAATGCCGAGATCAAACATTTCGAAGAATTTTACGTTTTTAGTCGCGTTTCATCGACTGTATTGTAAGCTCCTAACATGCTATGAAAATAAGGATTTCCAGTGTAACAGCCCCCTTGAAATACCACAATGGTTTACACTTCTTACCTTCAGAATACCTCTGTTTAACCACCGAAGCACTTGTTCGATACAATTCATGTAAGAATCTTTGGGCAGAATCAAAATTCAAGATGCTTCCATTATGCAGAATGAGGTCCACGAAGGAAACGAAACAGCGGTCTGGTCACACAATCATTCTGAATCGGTATGGCAAATATATGGCTTATCCTTCGCATGTAGAATCATGAACTGTGTATCAGTCTCTCATCTTATAGTTCCACTTTCTAAAATAACATTATCATTTATATTTATGTAGTAGTGCTCTGGTCTCAGAACTTTGTTACCCTCTCTTTGAGAAATTCCTAACTAAAGATTTTCTTGTTTTGCATGAGATACTCCACATCACCATGAAAAAATTTAATAACGTCTATACGTGAACAGTCGTATCTGTTCAGCTACGTTCACGGCGTCACTTTATATATATATATATATATATATATATATATATATATATATATATATATATATATATATATATATGTATGTATATATGTAGCTCTTTCTCGAACGGTTCAGTGTTTATTCCGAATAACCTGGCCGACACGCTTTTTAATCGCCTAAGTATGTTCTCTTTCCATTGAGCTGTAAAAAACAAAATAATATTTGGTGACTAACCTCTAAGAAATTGCTTAGTGGTGGTGGATTGAAGACGGATATATATATCGAGACACAGATCGCTTTCATCTGTGACTGACGAATTCGGGAACATTAGATAGAGACGTTCAATGGTGAATAGACCGGCGTACATAATCTCAGATTTTAAAGAACACTGCAATACCTAGGACATTAGATAATAAGGTGGCGAAAAGAAGTTTAAAATTCTGACAAAAATTCTGAGAGGTTATCAACAGCGTGTCAGGAAATGTATTCGATAAAGTATCAGATAATCCTTCGGTGGCAGTATACGCAGAAGTGTACTAGAATGAGAATAAATTTCATACCTAGAAATTGTCTACCACTGTTTTCGCCCTATCACGTTAGTAAAATTGTGGCATAAAATAATGCTTCTCAGAATATAAAAAATATCAATTTGAGTATACAGAGTAATTATCAGCACCCACACCCACCCTCCAGCCTTGCACGGTTCCATCCAAATTTACCTAAATGCAACTCAACAACTGCATATGTTTTTTCCTGTACTTCAGTTTTCGTTGTTTGATGTGATCAGATAGAAATTCCGTAAAACTGCTCAAAGTGTTACCACTATAAACTCCTCGTTGGAAAACAACCGATGGACATGTTAAATCCTGAGTCAACCACCGAAAGAAAATGAGAATATTTGAGGATACTATACAATCAGAACAATTACACAGAGAATGTGCAACTAGCTTGAATCACAGCCTTTAAAAGGCAAATCTAGCACAGTTTGATCTTGTCAGTCCACAACGACAAGTGTATAATTATGTGATAGATACTGGGCTGAATATCGATCACAGTATACCCACGATTACTGTGTTGTGCGATGAAAACGGGGAAGTGTAGCAACATTGACAAACGAATTGAATTTAATCGAATCAAACGAAATGGAAATTCATTGGTGAATAACGATAAACGTGTACATCTCGTAGGTACCATGCCATCGATGTATTTGCCCTTTTTGTGCTTTATTGTCGTACATGTATACTGATATGTGATGATATACCTAGTCCAAATGATACGTAGGAGTCATATAAACAAACATATATATATAGTTAGAAAAGGTGCACTTACTTTGTACAGGTACTTGCGTCGTTGAGCTGACAGTGGTGTCTGGAGTGTTCTGCATAGCTGTTTAGATGGGGGAAATGGAGAGAAGATGGTTATTGGTGCATTCAATTTGCAAACATATCCATTTCGATTGCGATATTTTTACTTGAAAATTGACCATCAATATACCAAATCAACCGATGAACGAAATGAGTGCCAAATCAAAGTGGGGAATCTTGCATGCGTCTTTGTCTACCAGCTATATCGAAAGTACTATTTACCTCAAATCTGATAATATATGATCACATTGGGTGATATCATCCATATCCATTCATATTTGATCATATCGGTTCAGCTTAGATCGAATATGATCCGTGGTTTCTTTCGCGATTCCACAATGAGTGGTCGGTGGTTGTGTCTGCACTAATACACAAATACATTTATCCAAATGTGTTTAAAGTACCGGCAATGGGCTCCAAAGTATGTGCAGCCTCATCCTACCAGTCCGTGTTCAGAAGAATGTAGCTTCATGATATAAGATAAGCTGATTCGTGTGACCCAATATTCCTTCATCTGTTATTGAACCATGAAAATCTTTGAATAGAGCGATATTCCCTAGGCCAATTGAACGAAATATAATGGAAAAAATGGAACAGATGTGCACATATATTTTCCCTAGATTCTTTTTTACAGATATAAGTGCTCGAGTTCCAATTTGGACTTTGTCATTCAGTATCACATCATATACGATTGGATCGAATGAAGCTGGGCTGAAAATTGTAGTTATCATTGATAATGCGTTTATATGTGCAGACATGCACGCTGCAATATTTTGTGTACCAGGATCTCCTAAGTTTAGGAGTTGGTTAGAATTTGTTCAGAATATGTTGAAGGATATGTGCAGTAGAGCATGCACCTAGATTGTCAGAGTGATGAATAAAAGGATACGCGGTAAATGTGCGCTCACCTGTGGACTCAGTTGTACGGGATCCATTTGGATCTTCGGTCATACTTGTGTCGATTCCATCGGTTGAACTGACCTGCATATCTGTTGAGTTGATAACAATGCAGTGACAACCGAGTACCCATATTAAGTTGCATATTTTCATTTGCGAGTGATGTTTTCTATGCATGTTCTGCCATAGTTGGTCCTATCAAGCAGGCAAATCATTTTGTGTAGCAAAGTATGCATGCTACTAGGATACAACTCGTCCTTGATGGTAATTGCTTACCACTGTTTCTATTGGTAGCAGCTATTCTGATTTAACTACGTGTTCCAGCTGACGTACATTTTGCTTCCTAAACGTACTGTGCTTTACGGTTGCCCGCCGCATATATTCAAGGAGCTCCCAATACTATCATCACTACTTACCTTTATACTAGGCATGTTTGAATCACTAACCGTCATGGATTCACTTCCACGTTCACCCTCTCTAGTTATTTTCAAAATACTAATCACAAGCTGAATCATCTGTTACATTTCAAAATTATCCAATCATGTTGAGACCAATTTACTCCTTTACCACGAATCAATTTGCAAAAGAATTGGTAATTCATCGCATGGTCATAACGATAGTGATACTTACTCATTCCACGCAAACAAAAGACCAGCAGAAGTAAACCAGCGAGAGTTCGCATACTCCTTGTTGAACCGTAACTGGTCGGGTAATCGAGGACTGTTGCTGGTACTATTCACTGTTTTTTTTCATATATCTTTGAGTTCCATCGATCACAAACACCCCAATGTTAATTGACTCTCAAAGTAAACTGATCTCAAATACACAAGTACCAAGCTTCTAAATTTGAACACCTCTCGTTTTTTTCACTATATGCCAGAAAGGTTATTCGTTTGAGTACGCCTATTGCATCACATGTCATTGTCGAAACTTGCAGTTCCCTGATGATCGTGGGCTATTTTTGTCAGCATTTTCGCGTAACTCACTAAAACCTTCTTCGTTATTATTTATTTTGTGTGCTATTGTTAGGAACTTTCCATTAGAACTCCAAACCAGAACTCATTCGAACAGTTGACTTCTATGATGAGTATCATTTCATGGTTTTTCCGATCCGTTTACATGAGCGAAGAATAAGAACATGGATCATGTGATTTCTTTTCCCCTAAAGTCGTCTTGAAGTGTTACCTGTATTTCCAGTCATTGAAATCGTACACCGAAGAAATCAACAAAGAGGTTTTCATTGGGAATCTGTTCTCATTTGGTACTTCGGATTGAATATACACCCGTGAACTCGAAAGACGATCTACTGTCGAGTCGTGAGCAGCAATGATGAATTATTGATTTGAACTGCATAATCAGAAAAAATAATGCAGATTTTGGAAGATTTTATGCAGTTGGGTAACGTTTGCTACGAATATACTGCACACTGAGGAACATGTAAATTGGTATCGACCAATTATCTTCCCCATACACAATCGTGTGTCCTGAGCCAAAAATTATAAAACCACAAAACACAACTAACAATCCTAACACGTCAGCACATGTGTATTCGGAGCATTATTTATTGATTATATTTCTTATGGTGGATTTCCCAAACCCCACATATTGTTGATACAACGACAGTATTTCACGACAATAAGTAGTGCAAGAAAATTTAACCTCTCCAGATTCATAGAATGTTCATTCTGCGTTTGACTGCAGATCACATTACCGACTCTGTAGATCGCAGCGTTTGTTAGCCCCGCTAACAATTTAAGCATTACGAAGCGAAATGTAAACAGCGCCTCTGCTGATCCATATGGCATCCTCAGTATGCGGTTTTGCTCGTCCCTGACGGTAAATGCTGTGCTATCTTGATCACTTTCTTTATTGGAACTTGCCGAAATGCCAAACGCAGAATAATCACCGAAAGTGAAGTGGGTGCTTGCAATTCATCGAATATCTCTGCTACTGAAGTCGCTGGCTTCAGCTTGTGTATCGTATTATCGTTTCCACGTCGAGAATCAAATAAAAATAGAAATTTCCCATCGAAATTATTTTACCAGCAGTACAAGCAAGTTGCACGGGTATCGCTCTTCTCTGACAACTACTCCTTCTAACAACTCCTTTCCCTGTCATTTTATTTCATCCTCCAGATGGACAGGAATGCAACGAGGTCCACATGGCTGAAAAGCCATGGACATTCTTGTTCTCCCCAGTCACAAAGAATGTTTGGGTCTTCATCCATCGTAAACAGTTCAACGAATTCTTTCATGGCCGAGTAAAACACCGGATTCACATTGATACATTTTTCATTTACACTGGACCCATACACCTGCTTCGATGGTGGGCAAACTATTGGTACCGAAATAAACTTCGCATTCCTCCGATATTCTTTAACGTCGATCACCGCATTCAGTGCCCGCTACGGATCGGCTTCCATATATTGTTTGGTTTGTGTCGCGTGATATTATGAACTCATGCATCAAAGTTCTATCCTTGATTCGAATCATCCTTCGCGCCGTCCTGCAAATGTATCCTCTGACCCCGATAACCATCTACATTTGAGAACAATGTAAGTAGGAGTTCACATCATCATTTATTGCATTTCGCTGTTGACATTATCGGCACTGGCGTTAAAAAAGCCCCCATTTCCACAGTTAGAACCCCGTGTTTGATTCGGTTTTCCTTCAGTCGCTAGTTCCTCCGTCTTTTGAAAATTTATCTGTGATATAACCCTAATACAATCATTCTCCGATTTAGAATACTTTACCTCAGCCCCATTGGTCTTCGCCGTGTCCAGATCGGGTAGTCCACTGGAGGCCTCCGCAAACTGCAAAATATCCATTTTCCGACTGACACGGACGATATGTATGCAGTCTTACATGGGTTCCGGCTAGCTGCCCACAAAGCGATTCGCAACAGCTGACTGCGTGAGACTGTGTCTAGCGTGGACAACGCATAGTCCAGGAGCAAAAGGAGGCGACAACGCAAAACAACTCCCCGGTGGGCTGTTTGGGATTACAGCATCACCTCCTGACAGTCGGTTGGAGTGTCGAATCCCGCGAATAGGGCATCCTGAACAACAGCACACTCCATCTTCCAAGAGCCTCTTGGCCGCGTCCGGCACGGCCCGCAATCTACCTTTGAAAATCTTTCGAAGGCCCGTCAACGTACTCCGGCCTAACCGCAATGTCATTCAGGAAGCCCAGTACGCCTTCAAACTCAGAGCGCCGCTGCTACGGGATGTTCACTCCAATTACCCACCCAGCACTAAAATTGACAAAAAGCGCCACGTGGAGAAGTCATCGAAATGAACAATTACAATAGTGCTTATTCGTATGATATTTGTCTGGTGATTCGGAGACTGTTACTGTTTAGTTGGAGGATGTAACCACCTGGTTCATACGCTTTCTTTAACCAAATTGTGTTTGGTATATCTGATGTAGTCGGTTTCACTGTCAATCTATATGTCCATTATTGTGTTTTGAGCAATCAACTGGTAGTTTTCTCGGTAATTAGTGTGCACACTTCTCCACGCTACCTGATAGACTCAACCGAAAGGGCTGTGTCGGATCAGCCTGGAGGCTTTAGTTAGTGCGTGGTTCCAATACTGATGCTAGCAACTTTCTACTTCCAAGTCATATCATGGCCCAACGGCCACGTCTATTCTTCCACTCTTCCCAGCACGCGCAAATGGAGCATGAAAAGGTAGACGACGTGCCTGATCCACCGGATAAAGTGTACAGCGATCATTTCGTCAAGATGGCGGATATTCCTGTTCAACACACGCCGGTGCACCTGGTCATTGTTCAGTCTCGTGGCCGCACAGTAAATGAAAAACAGATCTGGGTCACGGATACTCATCTCTTAAGAGACAGAAGGTAGTCATGGCGAGGCAGCACGTGTCACAATTTTACGAAAGCTACTCTAGCTCCCGTCACTCGTTAATTGATCTCCTTCTCAACACCACCTTCAGCTGTTGTCTAGCCCTCAACGAACTCGAATTTGTCAACTGATTGTACATGATCATCACAAAAGAAGACTGGAAGCACAGGCTCCTTCCAATCTTGCCAAAGCATTTTGTACCTGGAAAGCTCAAAGTATATTTCATATATTGATTCCTAAATCACCAAGGAGTCCAAAGGATATTGGATCCACTGTGCATTTTCGCTCAGCAAGGTGATTTCATCTATATATTTGAAGTCGAAAACTCTGTTCTTTGGGAGGAGTTTACCTTCACCGTTTGGAAGGCGAGATAAGGCAACCCGTAGAACATCCCCTTCAATAAAAATAAAAAGAAATGGGGATTTTTGACAACTTTTTCGAACTCGACTGGACGAAAGCTGGCCGTGGGCATTTACCTGACCTGAGGTGTAACGATACAATTCTTCGACGACTGATACAAAATTCATAGGTGCCCCATTTCTCAACAAACAATTTCATAGTGCAGTCCTATTGATGGAGGGGAAGGCCATATGAAAGTCCATGAACACGATGATGGCACTCTAGCAGTAGTCAGAGGGTGAAGATTTGATCGATACATCCACGACCGGAACGAAAACCAGCTTGCTCCTCGCGAGTCTGCTCTGCACGAATTTGGTACAACCTGCTAAGTAAGACAGACGCGAATTGCCTCGACGCTATTAGGATATAGCTAGCATCTCCATGGTTACCGCACAATGCGCCAGCTCTTCTGACAGATCTAGGCAATAACCGACGCTCCCCACAAGGATAGAAACTGCTCGGAATTCCAAACATTTGAGAACAAAACATGGAATTGTTAATCGAGCTGCACTCCACCACCATATATGAAAGCTGGGCAAATGCCATCGGAACCCAGCACCTTGTACCACAGGAGAGACTGAAACTCAGAGCAAGCTAAACCATGTCTGTATTGGTCCACAGAGTGCTCAAAACGTCGCTGTTTATGTGTGAGTTAGCAAACCACCATTTACAAAGATTGTCTCGCTCGAATCTAGGAGTATTTGATCGGTGACCCGAAATAGACAGAACAGCTTTGCAGAGATTCAACGGATATCTAGGGTCTCGCGAAACGATGACAAAGGCCACAACTTAATAAACGAACAAAATGCAGAGCATTCCTAATAAACGACCAGTGCTGGTTAAGGGTAACAAGTGGAGCTACAGATAACTTCCCAACTAACGCGTTCTGTAAGACGAATTGGCCAAATGGGTCGGAAAGTTTATCGCAGTCTAATCTTTATTGCAGCATGACTTTTGAAAGCATACCAATGCACATAGACAGCTCAGTGCAAGCTAATGCATGGTCGGAATAATGGGGTGGCCCAACACAAATGGCAGTCTTGTATGAAGACCCACCATTTGTGTTTCATGGCGATGTTTCATCCGGGTATTTGCTGACTGGAAGAATGCATATGTCACGTGGAGTACCGGCAGTTACAGCTGTTACGGCGGAGACTGCTCGTTTACACGAAGTCCTGATTCTTACTGTGCATGAGCGATTGTCGACGGGGATCATGAGTAACAGAGCAAATCCAGCTACTTCATCGGGAGTAATACCATCTCCAGCAAGACCATTAGTAGCAGCCTCAGCATCCCCAGTGATTCTTTTGTGACATTTCAAGGAAGAACTATATGAGAACGTCAAACAAATGGTAAAACTGGAGCTCC